TTGATAGTAGAGATAAGACGAATGGTGGTTGATTTCTGCTTTGTGATTTTTGTATTTTCAAATTTCCTAAAATAGTAACAAAAATACAAATATAATCTTAATTCTAAAAAGAAATTTATGGTTACCAAGGAAAGCTGTGGAAGTGAGAACTTAAAACCAACAAATTTCTGGGAGAGTTCAGCAGCATCCCAGGTTATTAGAACGATGCTGGGATGAAAGGGTCACTCTAGGAGACTGATACCAAAGGTCATTTTATAACTTACATAGCTGGTTTCTACAGTGTTACCACAGTGCTAACAATTACCAACTTTCTTTCCTTTGGAAAGCAACACGGTGTGAGGGGAAACACTCAGTCTCTCCCCACCAGCCCCCACCCCCCTCCCCCATCCTCCCAGGGCTCTGCTCATGCTCCAGACCTTGCCTGGGCAAGAAGGATTTTCAGTTCAATTTGTAAAGACTTGCAGAAAAGGAGATTACACAGTGCTTTAGCACCTCGTTCATGGTCTTTCTGAAACTGAAGGTCAAGTCTTACGGAACAATTTAATACTGTTTTCTCATTTTGTATCCTCGAAGGAGATGAAGGCTCATTCATCTCTAGGCTCTATGTCATAACACATCATAAAGAACACTTGAAACCTTATATTAATTCCTGATGATTTTTTGACTCTTTCAGTTTGCTTTTGTATTCAAGAAATGGAAATTTTAGAACGAGGCTGGTCTGTTGAGACATTGATTCAGTATTTAGAAATGAAGTAAGGAAAAGTGCCGGTGTGTGGTAAATGCTGTTAGTATTAGCTATTACTGCCCAGGCTGCAGCTATTACTAACACCGATTCTAATGCTAATAGAACTACAGTAAGAAGAAACAGACCTTTCGATTATTTTAAACTTTTATATGACGTTTGAAACAAATGTTTAAAAATGAAAAACTTTAGAATTGAGATATCCTTATATTTAGCAGAAGCCTACAATACGGGGTTTTAGTTCCCTCTGGGGAAGGGCATTGGTTTTCCTCAGAATCCCTAATCCCTTCCTAGATCTTTCCCATCAGTTCTTTTAACTGGGCTGATTAGAAAGTGTGTGGGAGGTGAGGGTGGCGGATGGTACGGGATTTGTTCCCCGGGACTAAGGACTTAGGTTTTAGCAACTGACTTCTTCATTTCAGGCCATGAGGATTCACTTTGCTACTTTGTGAACTTACCGAAAGCAAAAGTAACTTTTCCTTACTTGTGACACAAACCAGAAATGATGTTCCCGAGAACTTGTGGGGGGTTTTTGTCAGCAGAGGAATAGTAAACTGTCCCTGTCAGAGATGATCCCAACAGAGTTCTATTCTGTGCATCTTTTCTCACCTTCTTACTATTGTGGCACCAATAGCAAGACCTTGAAGTGAAGACAAGAAAGAGAACACAGAGGGTGCTTGCTCTGGTCTGAATGTCTGTGTCCCCCTAAAATTTGTACGTTGAATCCTAACCCCCAATGTAATGCTATTAGAAGGTGGGGCCTTTGGGAGGTGATTAGGTCAGGAGGATGGAGCCCTCATGAATGAGATTAATGCCATTATAAGAGGCTAAAGAGACCAGAGTTCTTCCCTGCCACCATGGGAGGACACAGTGAGAAGGCACTATCTATGAGGAAGCAGGCCTCCACCAGACAGCAAATCTGCTGATGCCTTGATCTTAGACTTCTCAGCCTCTAAAACTGTGAGAAATAAATTTCTGTTGTTTATAAGCTACCCAGTCTATGATATTTTCTTAGCACAGCCCAAACAGATTAAGACAATGGTATTCTGATTGTAAGGTGAAACATATTTATAAACCTTGACCCTACCTGTTTCTGCTAGTTTTTTATTGTGTCAGTTTTTAAAGTTCCTGCAGAATTGGAAGGCTGTCACTCAAAATGGCCCTGGTCAATACTCCTTGGTCGATAGAAAGTTAACTACAATTGTTTTGCCACACCCATTAGCCAGCAAGGGGGGAGTGATGAAATTAGCTGCTGATTGACTTTAAACCCTGGGAAGTGTTTAGGATTAGCTGTTGTAGCTCACTCATTCCTTAGCATCAGATTCTGGTTAATTGATATTCTATTTCCAAAGACCTCTCTCTGCCTTTTTAATATCACCCTTTCAAGATAGTTTTCACCAGTGGAATTAAAGAATCCAGATGTAGCAAGATAAATATGTATATTGTTATGGGTACATAAAACTTTTAAAGAATGTTAGAAAGAACTGAGCTAGCCTAGGCTGCCAGAATATCCTTGGTTCATGCTAACTTCCAGTCATGTGGAGTCCAACAAAATATAACTATTAAAATCAATAGTGGTACATCTATGTAATGGAATACTACATAGCTACTTAAAATTATGTCACGGAGAAATATTTAACAACATGGAAAGTTATTCATAATATGTTAAGTGGGGGAAAGAAGGTTAAATAATAGTATATATAATACAATTTGCGCAATATCATCCTTTTTTTGAAAAAAAGGAACATGCCAATACATAGCATACACAAGGAAAAAAGATGTCAAAACAGACACCAAAATTTTAACATTGATTAGTCTGAGTAGAGGAATTATGACTAAGTTTTCCCTTTGTGTATATATATTTTTTTCTGTGTGTTTTCCCAAAATTTCTGCACTTAACATGTGTTGCTTTTGTAATTAGAAGTAAAACCAATATTTCCCTTTTTAAAGGATGGTGTTACAGTATGACTGGCTAGCTGTTTAGAATTCATAGTGTGTCTGCATTTGTGGAGTCATCACAAGTTCAGAGGCTGGCTCATCCTCAGCTTTCAAGTTTAGAAACAAAATTTGATTAGTTCACTAAAGACTGATCATGGTACAAAAATGATAAGACTGGTTCCCCTGCCCTCAACTCTCATTACTAAGGCCTATATTCTTATTTGTTCATTAGGATAGATTTCCCCCAGTGTAATTACTTCTTCAAAGAACTTGACTCTTCTAAGGTTCTTGAAGCAGTGTACCAAATTACTTTAAAAAAATTATATTAGCAATGCAGAAAAGGACAGTATTGTATCCTCTTAAGCACTGAGTTTTTTCATTACTGCCTGCCACTTGAACAGTTTAAAAATTGTTATTTTAATTTGCATTTTTAGAAAATTTCTAGTAACCATGACAAGTGCATATGATTTTTACTTATTCTGTTCTCTTTGGTTATAACTTTTAGAGAGAGAAGATTGCATTTGTGTGAGAGGAAGAAGCAAGGATCTGGGAAAGGAGCTTTTGGTCTAAAAGTCAGGAATCAGGGCTCTACTGCAATGGCTTTCTAAATGGCCTCTCACTTCCATGTCTGACCCCTCTAATCCATTGTCCACATGGCAACCAGAATGATCATTTTAAAACTTTAATCAGATCATGTCCCTCTCAGGCTTAAAACTATCCAATGGCTTCCCAGTGCTTTAAAAATAAAATTCAGACTGCCATGATGGACAAGGCTCTGCTATGCAACCTTGTTCACTACTCTGCTGCCACACTGGCCTTCCTACATTGTCACCATCTCAGAGCTTTTGTCTTTAGTGTTCCCTTTGCCTAGAAGGCTCTTTTCTCAGATCTTCACACATGTGGCTCCTTCTTGTCCTTCAGGGTTTAGCTCAAACATCACCTCCTCTGACAGGCCTTCTGTGCCTCCCTGCCATCGTATTCATTCTGTTTTATTATCTCAAACAGTCTGAAATTATCCTTATCATTTGTTGTGTCAACCTTAAATAATGAGATTCAGAAAATATGATTAAGTATAGAGTTTAATTCCAGCTCAAAGCTTGAGGATAGCCACGTGGAAAACACTGACTCCAAACGAATGGGGCAGCCTTCCAAAGCGAAATTAAGGTTTCATTTGTACAGGCAGAAACAGAGAAGTTTTAACAGGATTACAAATTTTCCATATTTGGTTGCAGATTGCTACATTCCTAGAGAGATTACTTTATTTCTCTGTGAGGATGGTTAGTGATCTGAGGGGGTCTTATTTCTGGCCCATTTAGTCTTCCTAATTATTTACAAGGGGGAAAAAAAAGCAGAAATTGCAGCTACGTGCCCCTTGACTCTCAGGCCGCATAACCACATTCCTCTCAAGGCTCAGAATAATTTAAAGTTCCAACAGCTTTAAGTTTGACTTATTTAATTTCACAGTTGGTTCACTTGTTCTTTTCCTGTCTCCCACACTAGAAAGCTCAGAGGGATGCAACCTTGGCAGGCCCCAGCTTCTTGCAGGTTAGACATTGGTAACCAGTTGAATGAATTAATATCTATCTATGCAGGCCTCAGGATGCCTCCTCTTTAGAAAGGGCTGACGAGATGAATGTGAGCAGGTTGAGGTGGAACCAGCTCATTCTAGCTCGGGCATTCAGAAACCTCCCCCAAGGAAGTTTTACCAGAGAATTTGGGAGCGAGCTGGAGGAGAGACAATGAAGATAATCTGTCTTTTCACAAGTTTGAGAGCGCCTAGCGCGATCCCTTAAGGGAGACAAGGGCACAGAGCCATTTATTTGGAAGGGCTTCTTTTTCGTGTTTTTTTGTTGTTGTTTGTTTTGAGACAGGGACCTGACTTTAACCAAAGGGGAAGACGAAAAGCCAAAGACAGGCGTGCCCCAGAGCTCTCGGGCCAGCACCTAGGAGATGTCGGAGCAAGTAGGGTCTGATGTCCCCTGCCTCGGTGGCTCTGAGGGCCCCAGGGACCACCCGCAACTTCCTTCCGCCGCCACCCCTCGAGACTGAGGCTCAGAAAGCAGTAAACTGGCTTTCAAATTACTAAGTGCAATTGACATCTCCTGAGCTTAAAACAAACACCGCTGAAAAATGCCAAAGTCACGGACAAGAAAGTCCCGTTGTCGCACGCGCAGAGGTCCCCACTCCGCCCAGCTAGCATTTCCCCCCTCAAGCCCAGGGTGTTGCTGCAGGACAGGGCGGGGAGGGACGGGTCCGCTGACGCCACCGAGCCTGGACTGCGCAGGCGCGGCGCGGGCTCGCGCGTTGTGTCGCGCGCCGGGCAGTTCGCGCGGGAGCCAGGCGCTGGGGCGCCGGGGCTGCAGGTCTGTGGAACGGAAGCCGCTGCGGGGCGCGAAGGAAGCCAGGATGGCGACTCCGACCAGGAAGACGTCGACCCCAGCCCCCCTGGCTTCCAAGAGAGCTCTACCGAGAGACCCTTCGTCGGAGGTCCCGAGCAAGAGAAAGAATTCGGCCCCACCGCCGCCGCCGCTGCAGTCGTCCGGGCCTTTCGTGGAAGGCTCTATCGTCCGCATCTCGATGGAGAACTTCCTGTAAGTGGCCCCGAGGCCGCGCCGCGGCGGGGGAGGCTAGCGGCCCGCAAGCCCGGGGGCGCCAGCTGCGTGCAGGAGCGGGTGTGGGGGTGTGTACCTGGCTCGTGGGTCTGGCGGTGAATTCGCGCCGCGGTTCCCGTGAGGATTTTTCTACGCAGGCCGTGGAGATTGACGTGTGTTGGTGTAGTAGGTGTGTGTCTTGTGTGATGTGTTTTATTTTGTTTTAAATTTATTACGCCAGCGTTTTTTGAAGGCATTCTTAGAGCAGGCAGTACTAGGAACGTACTAGGGCTAGGGGCTAGGTCTCTGCCCGTGGGAGTCTCTGTGGGGGACCTGGGCTGTAATTCACAAAAGTATTGGCCCTGGGAACTCAGAGGAGACAACAGTTAATTCGGAGTGGCAGTGATGCTGTCGCAGATTCTTAAAGAGTAGGTGTTTGCCAGGTGGACCGAGAGTGTTAGATTAGATGGTAAAGGTTGTTCCGGATCGGGGTTAGAGTATACAAAAAAATTAAACCTTACTCTCAACTGTTGTACCTCCCTACAGACCTTTTACCCCTCCAAATTCAGCTTTCTTCCCTTGTTTCTCTGTGTCCCTCAGACATCTAATTATCACTTTAGAATTTAGTATGTTTTAACAAAAGTATCTAGTGCCTTACAGTTCATTTGTTCAAGTCTTTTATTTAAGCTTGTATATAGTGGCATAAAGGTAATAGTACAATACTACCATTTTTTTTTTTCAAGCACCTATCGTTGCTAGGTACCGAACTCCATGTTTTCTTTACAGAATGCTCTCGTTCTTCGTAACAATTGTTTGTCTCCATTGATGAGATAAGCTCAGAATGCTTATTTTGCCGAGGTTGACGCAACTAATAAGTAGCTGAATTGCTATTTGAATCCAGATCAGGAAAGACGAATGTAATCAAATGAAGTAGATGTCATAACTACATATATATTAGGATGCCATTAGGGCACAAAGGACGAAACGGTTAATTTCATCCACAGTGGTGAAAAAGGGCTCTGTAAAGAAAACATAAAAGTCTAAAGGAAGGGAAGAACATTGCAGACAGAAGGAACCACCTGAAAGAAATTGTTTGGCATGTTGAGGAAGTGTCAAGTATTTCAGTATGGCTAGATCTATGTCCTGTGGGATACGAGTGAATGCTTGGACAGAGGCAGGCAACCATTGAGGTGTCTCTGTATCTACTATGCTAAAGATTTTCAGCTCCATCCTGTAGGCAACCAGGATGTGTTTTAAGCAAGGAATGACATATGGCTTATGTTAATATGGAAGCAGTGTGGAGAATGATTTAGAAAGCCGCAAGGTTGGAAACGAGAAGACTTTTATAATATGAAGGCAGTAGATGAGTTTGAATTTGGTAGGAGCGTAAAGGAAAGAGATTTGACTGGATCTGGCTTCAGGTTAATTGTGAGGCATGAGGGCAAGGGAGGATGCAGCATTTTCCCTAAGTCTGCCTTGTTTAACTAGTCAGGTACTATTCAGAAGAGGGAGCAGTTTGGGGAGAATAATAACGGGCACCTCTTGGATCCTGTGACTTGAAGTTTCCTATGGAACATCGGAGAGAGATGTTCTATAGGCAGAATTTATAAGGATCGGAGTTTAGAGGAACATGTGAACAGATGAGAGATTTGGGAGTCATGTAGGTGATTGTTGAAGTTGCAGAACTGGTTCAGGTTGCCCAAAAGGAATTATACATCGAAGGAATAAAAAGCCCTGTACAGAATCCTGGGGACATGCCAACACTTCTGGGTGAGCAGAAGAGGAACTCACAGATTGAGAAGGTACTGTTCAGGGAGGTAAGATGAGAACCATGAGAGACTATTATCAAAGAAGCCAAGGAAAAAGAATGTTTCAAAAATATCCTTTGCTACATTGAAGTGAGATAACAGGACTGAAAAGGGCCCATTGCATTTCGCAAGTAGGAAATTTTTGACTCTTTGATGAAGCAGTGGAAACAGAAAACTTTGTAGGCCAAGAAGACTGAATGAGGGGTGAAGAAGTAAAGCTTTGTTGTAAAGAGGAGAAAGAAAAAGTGGCTCAAAAGTGGAGGGGTAGGTGAGATTTTATTTTAATGATGAGAGGACTTTGAGTTTTATGAGTGAAGTAGGGAAAGGTAAGGTCTAGAGAATTTGCAAGGAAGTAGGAGGGACCGGCAAATGGCCTGGAAGAGAGTAGTCGGAGAAGGGTTCCCACAAGTGAACCAAGTCAAATAGAGTTGAGAATGGAGGGAGAGATTTCTAAGCTGAAGGAATAGCACATGCAAAAGCTTGGAGAAAGGAGGAATCAAAAGAGTCAAGAAACTGAAAGAAGAACGTTATAGGTAGAATTTAGAGGTCTGAGCAGACAATAGGGAAAGAAAATAAAAAGTGGAAAAAGATGAAGCTGGGGCTCAATTGTGAAAGGTCCCTTTTTTCCTCCTTTGTTTTTCTTTTTTAACGAGCAACATCAGATTTGCAAGTCTACCATCATGAATCATGACTTGGTGATTAAATGGATGGTTGGTGGTTTGGGTGGAGTTGAAAGAGATGGAAGAATCAAAGATGCAAAACTAATGCCTAGGTTTCTGATTTGGAAAATGAGATGAATCATGATACCATTCACTAAGAGACTACAAGAGTGGTTTTGGCTGGGAAAGATGGTGGGTTTAGTTTTGAATGTGTTAAGTTTAAGGTGATTGTTACAGGACATCCAAATAGAGTTAGTTATTGAGGTGGTAATTGCATGTATTGTTCATCTGGGCTGAGTTTCAGCAAGTAGATGCTATCTGAGGCCATGGAGATACTGTGTAAAGTATGTACAATGGGAAGAGAATGGCTTTTTACAATAGCTCTTTCAGGACCTGCTTGGAGGAAAGGGAACTCACAAAAAGGTAATTACCAATATATATTGTAGAGTCAGAAGAATGATTTTAAAACCATGCAGAGGTTTGGTTTTATTTTTGGCAACTTTCCCTACTTATAATTTTTATGTATACTTTTTAGGCCAGAAATTCTTATGTTTTTCCCTGTTGTTTTTACTGTTTTCTTAAATACCAGTTGCATCATTGTTTTAATATGACATTTGTGCAGAGATTTCACAATAGGAAATCAAGCATTAAAAGAATAGGGCTTCATACATTGAGATTAAGAAATTCCATGTCAGATAACTTCCCAGATGTCTGAAGTTCCCAAACTGTTTTTATTTTAACCATAAAAAGGGTTCTTGTACGACCCAGTTGTAACAGAACAAAGCATTTGAAAATACAAAGTAGTTGCTGTGTTAGACGTGTGGAGTTGGCAAACCTGCCAGAAAATACTTCTCCTTTGCCACCTGTATTTATTTTTATTACCACCTGGCATTTCAAAGTCATTAATTTCTTTAAGTATTAAAGTTGAAATGTGTTTGGTTAAATTATTTGTGTTTGGCAGGTTAGTAGCAGGCTAAGCTTTTATTCTTGGGCAATTAGTTGACAGTTACCGGAGAGCTAACTGAAATGCTATGAGCAAAGGATGTTAATTATGGGTCCTAATTCGGGGTATTCCAAGTCAAGTTAGAAGAATTTCTATGTCAGAGTTTGTGTCACATTTTGCCATAGCTGTTCCTGGCAACTAAATAAAGATTAGATTTAGATGCTAACAGTGCAAGTAGTTAAGAGTGCTGGACAGCATGCAGCTTTTTTTAATTTTCTTTTTTTAGATACAGGGTCTTGCTAGGTTGTCCAGGCTGGCCTCAAACTCCCGGGCTCAAGCAATCTTCCCACCTCAACCGCCCAAGTAGATGGGACTATAGGCACGTGCCACTATGCCTAGCTTAAAAAATAATTTAAAAAATTAATAAAATGAAATCATCGAGTTGATATAGAGCTTCAGTTTTCTAATGAAAATAAAAATTTGATGTGTATAGTAGCTTTGATACAGTCTCCAGTGTATTGTAATTATTAAAAAAGAATAGAATGTATCAAACTTTGCTTTTTTTCAACACACTTTCGAAAAAAGCATATGGAATCATGTCCTTATTTTAAATATTCATTATTTTTTATTCCACTGATTTTCCCTCTATAAGTTTTTTATTAATCAACCTATAAAAAATATTGAATTTGTAATTTTAGCTGGTTTTTAAAGGAATTGGAGGAAGCTTGTAGATAATGATAATGTAAAGCAAGAAAAAATGCTTTTCAAAAGAAAATATTCTTATTTTCTTATCTCTTAATATTTCCACATGTTTGTAATACAGAACATATGATATTTGTGAAGTATCTCCTGGGCCTAACTTGAATATGATTATTGGAGCTAATGGAACAGGGAAGTCAAGCATCGTGTGTGCCATTTGCCTTGGATTAGCAGGCAAACCTGCTTTCATGGGACGAGCAGATAAGGTGAGTTAACATAAGTACTTAAGAAAATTCAAAGCTGTTAATTCCTTTTAGTCACCAATTTCTGTATTGCAGTTTCTTGGGTATAGCAAACTTGTAGTGCTTGAATATAAGGAATGAATTTGACAGGTAGGGAAGCTGAAAGCGGATTTTCTTTTCTTGAAGTGTTTTGGGCTATTCGCCTAGGGAATTTTCCAAGTACCTTACACCTGAAATGCTAGAAATAATGTAATATATCTTTTTTTAAATGCCTTTTTAGGCTTGTGGAATGGTGAAGTAAATTTACCAAGGGCAGAAATAAACAGTCATACTTTGCTTAATGATGGGGCCATGTTCTACGAAATCAGTCGTTAGGTGATTTTGTCGTGTGAACATCGTGGAGTGTACTTACACAAACTTAGATTGTACAACCTACTACACACCTAGGTTATATGTTATAGCCTGTGCTCCTAGGCTACAAACCTGTATAGCATGGTACTGTACTGAATACTGTAGGCAGGTGTAACATATGGTAAATATTTGTGTATTTAAACTTATCTAAACATAGAAAAGGTACAGTAAAATACTCTATAAAAACATAAAAAATGGTACACTTGTTTAGGATACTTACCATGAGTGAAGCTTGCAGGACTGAAGTTGCTCTGGATGAGTTAATGAGTGGAGTAAATGTGAAGGTCTAGGACAGTACTACGCTATTTTAGACTTTATAAACACTGTACATGTAGGCTAAACTAAATTTATAAAAACATATTTTTCTTGCTTCAATAATAAATTAACCTTAGCTTACTGTAACTTTTACTTTATAAACTTTTTTATTTTTAAAAAAAATTTTCTTTCTTTATATCTTCATTCTATAAGCTTTTTTCTATTTTCAAAATTAATTTTTTTTTTTTTTTTTTTTTTTTTTTTTTACTTTTTAAACTGTTTTTTTAAAAA